TAATATCAGTAGTTGGATCTTGTAGTATCTAATGGTTGTGATTAGTTCTCATATACTATAGTGGCTTCACATAAAAACCTACTCTCACCAAATCCCTCCCACAATGCATCATTTTTTAAATGCATCATTTTGACTTTTGCACTATTCACATGCCATGTTTAACTTAGTTGTTTTGCTATTATAAAATAAATAGATATTATTTTATAATATTTCATTAGATTCGCCACAATGTACTAATAGACAATTAAAGATATTAGTGATCAAAGTTACGTATTGGCAAATGTACCGGTCAAATTAATGCATTTAAAAAAAAAACAGAGGGAGTAGATTACTTAATGAAAATATATACATATAAAAATATTTCACTTGAGGAAAAAAATATACCGCAATTGCCAAAGTGGAAGGTGAATATTATAGGCTATAAATACTTTTACATGAAAGACGGACAAACCCAAAAAATAATAATAATAATAATAATAATAATAATAATAATAATAATATAGAGGGAAATTTTCAACCATTGAATGATATGTGTCATCGTTGATTTCACTTCTAGTATTAAATTATTGATAGATGATTATACCGATTGTATAATACATTTGTTATTTTTATTTATAGCCGTCAAAACTTAATATTAAAGCTGAAAAGAAGTTGGGCCAAGTTAATGAAAGATTAGTAACTTGTTCGGTTTACCTTTTGCTTCAATCCAGGACAATGTCACATGCAAGAGCAACGGCAACGGTAATCTTTGTCATCAAATTTTCAAATTAAAATATAAACCAATTTCACACTCTAAATTCTAAAAGTAAATTATCTGACTCTTTCAGAGTTCCTTTGTTATCTCTTCAAAAAAAAAAAAACAAAAAAAAAAAACAAAAGTTCCTTTGTTATCATTAAATCCTCTCGTTAGGTAATTGGTATGGCTGTATTAAAGAGTACATTGGAAGGAAGTTTTTAATCAATACTCCGTATTACAGTACAAAGATAGATTTTAAAACTATCAGTCCATATTTGACGTTATATTTTTTTTTCTTAATACTATCTCTGTTTTATATTATGTGCAATAATGAGGAGAGAGATAAAGAGAATGACATATTAAAAAGAAAAGAAAACATTTATTGCATATCATCTGTAATAATCATTTATGATAAATGTTGTACATAATATGAAACGGAATTGGTATAATTAACATGGACATTTTATTAAAACAAATACAAGTCCGTCAAAGTAATAGTTATGTTTTGAGGAAAATTATCCATACAAAGTTACAAACATACTTTTAGTTTCTTTCGATATCTATGATAATGGGTAATATTTATTTCGTATAATCATTTAGAAGAGATGATACGGATTACAAAGTATTTTAACTCTGATTAAAAGTCGATTATGAAAATTTATAAATTCCATTAATTTCGCTACTTTGCTTTAAACTTATTCCAACATAATAGGGGTACGTACTTTAGTATTGGAAGTTAATTAAGCAAGTATAACAAGTAGGGGTGTACAAAAACTGGACCGGACCTGAAACCGGACCTGAACCGACCTGATCCGGACCGGACCTGACCCGGACCTGTTGATTCAGGTCCGGTCCCGGTCCTTGAAAATCAAGGTTCCCGATTCCGGTCCGGACCCGGTCTAAAACCGGGGGTTTCAGGTCCGGACCTGAAACCCGGTTTTTTTTTTTTTAAAAAAAAAAAAAACAAACACAAAAACTCAAAAAATCAGAAACGCTGCTCAGTACTCTACTTCAATTTTTATTTTATTTTCTAACCCTAACTCGTTGCTCACCCTGCTCTGCCTCTACGTTGCGCCTCCTCCCTCATTCTCACTCTCTCCTCGCCTCTGCCTCTGCACTGCGACATCTCCCTTGCTTCCTCACTCTCAGGCGACGCCCACCCAAGGCTTGCTACATCAGCCACCGCAAATCTCCGGTAAGTTTTTTTTGCATATTTAATTATTCTTTATTCTTTTGTTCTTGTTTGAAATTCCGAATTATGGTGTATTGGTGTTCATGTTCAGTGTTCTTGTTTAATTTATATACATAATTCGAATTTATATATGTTTAATTTTATTTATATACATAATTCGAATTTATATATGTTTAATTCGTATAAGATATACATAATTCGAATTTATATATGTTTAATTCGAATAAGATATACATAATTCGAATTTATATATGTTTAATTTTTGGAAGTATGCTTAAATTTATATATGTTTAATTTAATTTATGTGGGTCGAATTTTTGTTCATTTTGGCCGAATTTTATTTATGTTCAGAATATATATTCGAATTTATATACGTATTCGAATTTATATATGTTTAATTTTATTTATGTGGGTAAGCTCTTATGTTTAATTTTATTTATATATGTTTAATTTTGGTTGTTAAGCAGGTTTGATGATTAGGGTTTATTGTTTTTGAATTTATGAACTTGAATTTGTGTTGGGGGTAATTGTGGAAGTTTGATTTTGTGAATTGGGTTTTAATTTGCAGGTTTCGATTGCTTCTGGTGGTGCTTCTAGAGAGAAAACTCAGGTTAGGGAATCAATTCAGGGTTGTGATGAATTTGAAATTAGGGATTGGTTTGTCTTGATCTATTAATTTTAGTTGAATTTGAAATGGAATTATTCAATTGAGACTTGTTTGAGCATGCAATTCACAATTTTTCCTGTCTTGGATGGTTAATTGTGTGAATTTGCCGTGTTTTTGGATCATTAATTTTGATTTATTAGTTTGATTCTTATTGTTACCTGCTTTAAAGATACAAGATTATCTACATTCTGCTCCTATAAGTTGATTGTTTGATTTATTTTTGTTTCGAAATGAGAGTAGGCTCACATAAGGGAGCTGGAAGAGGAAGTGAAGCTGCTTAGGAATATATCACACACAAATATAGTTGCAAGTATTTTATCTTTTCATGTACCAAAATACGATCCGATATTGCTGGATTCTGAGCTTAATTTCCATGCTAGAGATATTTGGGGACTGCAAGAGAGGAGGAGGCTTTAAATATCTTATTGGAATTGGTTCCGGGTGGATCCATTTCCTCACTTCTTGGCAAGTTTGGATCATTTCCGGGTGAATCTTAAGAGACTTTATGTAATGTTATGAGTTTTCGTGGACTCATTTGTATTTTCGGTGGACTCATTTGTATTTTTGGTGTTTGGAAATTGGAACTTTAGAGACGTTATGTAGTTTTGTGATTGATAATTTTGGTTAGTATGTAATTATTAAATTATGCAACAGGTCTAAAAATCACAAAACAAGTCCATATGCAGGTCCAACAGGTTATTTATAAAAAAAACGAAAAAACCACAAAACAGGTCCATTCAGGTCCAAACCCGGACCGGACCTGATGTTTCAGGTCTGACCCGGAACCGGACCTGTTAAATCAGGTCCGGTCCCCGGTCCTCAAATTTACCCAATTCAGGTCCCCGGTCCAAACAGGTCCGGTCCAGGTCCGGTCCGGTTTTGGACCGGTGTACACCCCTAATAACAAGCCTAGCTATCGTTTTAAATGGAGTAACAAATATTCATCTTTAGTACTGTATACTTTTTTTATTTACAGTGAATGAAATTATATATTGTCATAAATACACATTAAAATGGGGTAAAAGACATGATATGAGTGTGTTGTTTGGTTGGAGGTAAAAGATATGATGGGTGTGTTGTTTGGTTGACACAAAATTATCAAATTAGAGAAAATGAAATTTCCAAGAGAAGTTTCAATTTCCATAGAACATGGAAATTCACTTACCAAGACCCCCTTAGGTAAGTCACATTTCCCATAATTATTGTGGGTCCTACTTGCATTTTTAGCTAATCTCTTTCTTTTTCTCTCCAAATTAGTTACTCTATCCATTTTATTTTGTTAGTCTCATATACTATTTTAGGCGTTTTAAAATGATATACTCATATGGAATATATTCCTAACATTATTATAGGGTGAATAATTTTCAAAATCTATGAATAATTAATCTAATTGGGTGTTTAAAGAGTCTAAGAATTCTAATTAGTTAATTGTTGATCGACATGGCAAATTCTTCCAATCAAGATTTATTATAGGCGATTTAATTACATCCAATTCCCATAAATAAAACAAATGAAACATGAATAAAACAAATAAAATAGGAAAAATCAAAACATTAATTACAAAGCTTTAATCAGATTCCAAATTATTAGGATTCTTCCTTTTCTTATTTTAAGTGATTGATTCCAAAGGTGACTAACAAAGGGAAACAAGAAGTAACTTAAATAGAAATAATCAGGCTAACCAATAAAACATAGAAAATCAATTCCAATGAAATTTAAGTTCCTATATTCCTAGGAAATTTAAGTTTCTATATTATCAACCATGCAAAGTTAGGTCAATTCCTAAGAAAAGAGATAAAGGAAATTATTTCCAATATAATATAATTTTCTATGGGAACTTCCTATGGGAACTCATTTCCCATGTCAATCAAACAATACCAATGGACATATTAAAAGATTTCTTATAAATAAAATTTTTATGTGGGTCTTGCTGACAAGCGACACAGGACGTTAGATAGCTAATTAACATATTACTTAAAATAGTACGAGTATTAAGTTCCGAATGCATGACCAAATTACGCGTCTGTCGGTGTAATTAATGTTAATTTTACTTTAAAAAATTTCACATTTAGTTCTCTTATCTAACGCTTTCGGACGCTCGTTAGTTTTTACCTATATAAATATGTTAAACGAGAAACAATCAAACAATCCATACCTTAGTTTAAATTTAAAAGTGAGGAAATTTATTTACTCAATAACCGAAATAATAGTGAGGAAAATTTCCATATAGATTCACCATTATTCCCCATGTAATTATTTCCTTCTTGGTAAGGTTCTCATATGATTTGGTAGCAAAAAACATTAGACAAACAATAATTAATATTGATCCACTAGAGAGGAGTGGGACCAATGAAACCAAATAACAATAACAAGAAGTTGGATAAAAATTGACACTTTTAAACCAAGTTTAATCACTTTTTTTTTTCCTCATCAAACACAAACAACGACATTTTTCCCTCTCTATCCTCTTGGTTGCCTTTTTCCCCCAACGAATAGGACCTACTGTATGTCTTTCTCTTTTCTTTGAAATTTCAAATTTAAAAAACACAAAAATATGAATTCTTACTTTATCTGTTGAACATGCTTGTCAATTTTCAACAAACATTTGTAAATTTGGTTTTCTCACTCAAAAAAAGTTTACAAATTATAGCAACGAAACATGGCTGAGCCTACTTGTGTTATGCATCCTTTCTCTTACACCACACCATCCTTCTCCAATGAAACTCGTGAGGTTTGAAATCTATCATCCCTTCTTTATTGTTTTGATATAATTTGGGAATCGGCCCGTTTGTTTTTTTAGTATAGAGAAAATCACAGAGTGTAAGATGTAGATGGGATTTGATCAAAATCTTTGGTACCGCTTGTAACGTATAAACCAACTTAGCTAGTTGGCATTCACAGAATGACCATCATTAGTAGTTCTATCATTTTTTGGCTTTCAATCTTTCATTTTACAGTACAAGGTTCTTTTTTTTTTTTTTGTTTTTTCTTTTTAATAAATTTCGTCTTTATTTGTTAAATTTGGCAGGAAAATCCAATGTATGGAATGGGAGAGTCAGTTTCATTTGGGAGATATGTATGTGAAGAATTGGAATGGGAAAAGTGGTCATCATTTGACAGTAATAATAACAGAAATCGTTATGTAAAAGAGGCAGAAAAATACTCCAAACCAGGCTCAGTAGCACAAAAGAAGGCTTATTTTGAAGCTCATTTCAAGAGAATGGCAGCTCTTAAGGCTGCAGCTTTACTTGATGAGGGAAATGGTTCGGAAAATACGTCTGATGAAACTAACATAGACCAATTTAACGGCGATTCTGCAGTAATTACGAGCTTGAATCTACATGTTGACGATAACAGTTACGAGCAGGCCAAAATTGTTCCGAAAGAAGGTGAAATTAATAATGCAGGGGAATTTGTGGTTCACCAAAATGAACTTTACTCAATTGGTGTAGATGATGGGAATGGTAATGATGACAAAAATGTAAATCCGCCATTACCGGAACACAAATCTTCCGACAAAATTGATATTTACTCAGCTTCTAAGAAGGATGAAAATTGCAAGGCAAGCAATGAGGAGTCAAGTGGGATTCCCCAAATATGTAAACTTCCTTTGCAGGTGAATCTCGCTCCTTTGGTTTTTTTTTTTTTTTTTAATTAACAGATGCTAGATTATATAATTGGTTAAATGGGATAAGTAAAATGGTACGGAATTATTATTATTACTAGATGATACCCGAGCTATGCTCGATTTTTAATGAGGGTAATTGAAATTAAATATAGTGAAAATTAAAGTATAAAGTTTCTAGACACATTAATAATTCTGCAAAAAATCTAAACGAAAAAAATAGAGTTTAGTAGTGAAAATTTCCTGCAAAAAAAATTCTACTCAGTAATATAGTTTAGGTATATAGATAGATGGGCTTAGCATTTGAGCGGGAAAATTTTTCATGAGGTAACACCACGTGTACAGTTTTGGGAGAAGATGACATTAATGGTTGCTACTTTATTATTATTATTATTATTATTATTATTATTATTATTATTATTATTATTATTATTATCATCATCATCGTAAACACTGTTACTGAATTTCTGTTTTAAGTTAAAGCTTTTTTAAATAAAATTTGATGCTGGGTTAGGTAGTTGCAAAATTTCTTATAGATAAAATTGGACGGGGAGCATTATTATTGATGTAAATATTGTTTCTGACTTTTATTTTATAGATTTTATAATAATTTTTGAATTTTGATGCTTAATTTTGTAGTGGCAAAATTTCTTACAGTATAGTATGTAATTGTTCTGGTAAAATGCTTGTTGTACGTATAAGAAACTGAAGTTTGTCTAGGTGCTTGTGTAATATGCGTTACATGAGCTAAATTAATATTTCCTATGCTCATTTTCAGTTACTAACGAGTGATTTATTTTTCGTCGAAATGCATTGTACATAAAAAGGTTGTTACAACTGAGTGTTTGAGAGCCATATAGTACATGAACTTTGTAAAGGTGTTGTGTTTGGGATTTTGGGACTTGATACGACTACTTTTATGATCCTGTATATGTTGCACATGCTTAAGAGCCGTTTGTCAAAGCCTACGAGACTGTCAAATTTCCAATGCCCCCCAACAATGCTGTTAATCGTATCATTTAGAAGCTAGGAGATTGCTTATATAGTAAGATTAACGACGTTGTGGAGTGAATTAAGTAATCCTTACAGTAACTACTCACCAAGAAGCTAAATTCGTTTTCTATTCCTTAATAAAATCTTTGGTGCAGGAGAAGGCTTATTTAACTGAGGAAGCATCTGTAACAATAGTAAAAAGGAATCCACCACTTTCATCCTACATTCCATCCCCTGCTAGATCTGCTAATCCGATTTATCCTGGGAAAGAAAACTACGCAACTCCGGTTAAAAAGAAGTCTTCTGTTAGTGAGCCAGATAAAAAGAAAACTCCACTTCGTATGTCAATCAACAGAGAACTCAACAGAATCATGTCACCAGTCATTAAGAAACTTGGAAGTTCTTCTAAGGTTTCCAAAGATTGCTCCACTGACCCTTCAAGAACTCCTGCCAAGGTCTTTTCTTCCTCTTATCATTATTGTCATTGCATATATTTTTATTTATTTTTTTGTCTGAATAACATGTGCTTTAACAAGAGCATTTTGTAACAAATTGCAGGCTTTCCTGAGCGGTGTACAAGTTCCTCCTATGACTCCAGATTTGTCGAAAAGAGGGTATGTTATTCACACATTCATGAAAAGGAAAAAAAAAAGTAGGCTAGAAAAGGGCTGTGCCTATCAATCTAGCATAGCTGAATAGGAAAGTATTTTCTGTGAGAATTTTTACTGAAGCTATAATTAAGTTTACTATGAAAGAATTTTACTGAAGCTATGATTAAACTATGGGAACTTTGGCTAACAAAATTACAAGTAGTGCCTTATTATTTAGGACCATGTGCTACCTCTGCCCTAATGTCACGAAATTAATATAAACATAACTTTAGGTTAAAGTTTCTAAGATTTGAGTGTATGTTTCCTAATTTCATGACAAAATCATCCGTCTTTCTAGATATGTTTTGATGTACATTTCCAAATTACCAATTTTAAGTACATAATGAATTGATACTAATGGTTGTTAAATGGAGATTGTGGTTAGAAAAAAGTCTCATGATGTTTGTGTATGCCATTCATTGTATCTACTTCTCCCAGTATGAGCAAAAATAAGATAAGCTCACCCATTATTCCCAATTCATTTTGCCTGAGGAGTGCAGACAGAACTGCTAGAAGAAAGCAGGTAAACCTCCAGTTTTTTGCGAGGCTGATTATTATACGAAGTTAATGTTTATATAGTTTTCCTCAAACACGGTTAAATCTTGCTCTATTGCAGAAGCTAGAAGATAAGTTCAATGCCACAGCTACGGAAAAGGCACCTCAACCATCAAAATTCAAGGTTACTATTTCATCGATATCTTTTTCTTGGTTTCAATACTGTGCTCTTATTTCACTGAAACTAAATTAAAAGATACAGGAAATATGCAGCATCAAATTTTTTAGTCTAAAAAACTTAGCTCAGTTCTTATGAAGGTGCAAAATAAAATCTATCATTTGTACCAACCTTATCAATAATTATGTTTGTTGGTTATCAATGGGTGTAATTGAATTGTAAAGCAATAGTTAATTGTTAGGTAAATTTCTCTCCTATGATACCCCCTCGGAGTAAGTGTGACATCATATGGTTGTATAATATCTGATAGGATGGGGTTGGCTATTATAGGATACGAAATGGCTTTTGTAAGCGAGTTTACACAGATGGGTGACTTATACTTCAGATAAAGAATTTGTTACAAAATTTTGTCTTACTTGCCCTTGGTTTGTGTTACTTTGCACCCTCATTTTGCATAATATAATGCTTATTCGAGTCTTGATCTTGCAGGAGAAAGCGGAAGCAGAACTAAACAAATTCCGCCAGAGCTTTTGCTTTAAATCTATGGCTTCTCCAGACTATTATGGAGACAGCGGAACATTCAACAGCCCTAAGCCCAAGGTTGGTCTCTTAATTCCATTTCTTTTCTTCAGTCAAGCTCTATCGCCTTGTTCTAGTCCCTTCTGTATTAATATTTGCAATATAATAACTCCGTCCATTTAGAAATAATAGTTCATATACTCCGTATTACTAATGAATTTTTAATAACAAGGATTGGGAGAGCAGGACTATTAGTTTTAGGTGGAGGGATTATTTGATTGAGATAATCATCTATGCTTTGCATAATTGATCCTCTTAGAAATTAAGCTAGTGACAACTATAGTTTTCGCATTTATATTCTAATTCATTGGCTTTTCAAAGTCCAAATTTCTTTTTTAGAAGATTCACTTGAAGAGTTATAATCTTTGATTGTATCTGTTGCAGAAAGAGTCTACAAATCGTAAGTCCCCTAATGAGGTAGGACAGGCGAACAGAACAGCGTCTCAAAATAAGAGTGCATTACCACCAAGAAGGCCTTCAGCGAAACAAATTGGCTTGAAGAGTACTAAAAGAACTACTCATGTACCCAGCTAACCTTAAGAAATTTTAACAAGATTGCGGTCAAGTGTTTGACAGATTATAGGAACCTCCTCCAACAGACTGACAATATTCGGTACACATTGTCAAGAAAGAGCAACCCTATTGAATCTCGTAAGAGGTAATTGTTTAAGTTCTAAGCATCGAAGAACTTCAATGATATGTATATTAAACAAGGGTGGACATCCAATTTGTTTACTAGAGAGTGCTGTCATTTTACAGTCTTCATTCTGGTTCTGTAAGTGTTCAAATCTTATAAGTTGCACATATGTATTTGTTGTGAATTAGACACTTTGTTACATGGAAGTAACTGCGAGTCTGCAAATAACTCTATTGATTTACGATTTTCTGTTTGTTTGACTTTAAGCTGATTACCTACGTACGATTTTAATGGTCACATTACTAATTTAAATTATACTATTTATCGATGGATAGAGTGAGTATTCAATATCAGATTTTCAGGTATATATTATCTTACGAAGTTCACTAATATTGATTGTTTAGCCATTTGATTATCCATGATAATGTTCTTCCAATTTTCATGATAATGATTTACGAAGAATTTTTTGAATAAGTATTATGATTTATGAGCAGGAAATAGGATTCTCTCCGATTCTTTACCTTTACATTCAATGTAATCTAAGCTGCCCTATTTATTACCAAGGCAATAAAAATTTATTGTAAATAAGTTGAAATTTATTTAGTAAGCACTTAATAAAATCAATGACTGCAGGTCCTACATTTAATGATTTTTTTTTACTCTATTTTTACAAAATTGTCATTAGATAAACTTGGATTTTCGTAGCAAATCCTAAACTAAAAAATCAAGAAACTTGGATCAAATGAGCAATGGATTAAGTTTTTTGATAGAATTGTGATGATTCGTGGGGCAAAAGTTCAAGATTACTTTATATGAGCATGCGGCATGTGCTAATGTGCTAGGTATCATGGTTATGACTTATGAGTTCAAAAAAATGGATGTAATTATTACAAGCACAAGTATTGCTGGGTAGAAGGCCATCAAGTTTTATCCTTCATCCATTTTGTAATAATTGTAATGAGAAAAGTGAACATATTTAACAAAAATATAGGATGACTTTAATAAAAGAAAAAATTGGTAAAAATAATCTCAACTTTCAGTATTCTTTTTAAATAATCCAACTTTGAATTATTTTTAGGAAAAATTCACAACAATAATCTGAAATATAAGCATTCTTCTCATATTAATCCCAACTATGGTTTATTATATTATAATCAAAACTATTGGAGACATCTTCTCAAAATAATCCCGGCGACGGAAAACCTATTAAACTGATTAATTATTTTATTTATTTATTTTTTTTAATATATGCATTTCTTCTTATCTCTCTCTTCCGAATTAACTTAGCCAAGCTCCACACATGTTACCACTCTCGCCACCCTCCCTTAGCCACCATAACTCAACCACCATTGCCATCGTGAACAATACCTTTCCCAATTATCAACCACATTGCATCACTAGCCACCATAACCTAACCCCCACCACTAAAATTGACACATAAACTGATAAACCTCACTCTTAGCCATCAAAATCAATGCCTAACCCCTCTCTTTATCATCAATTACCACCCATATGCTATTGCAAGTCTGCTACTGTCGTCTGTCGAGAAAGAGAAAAGATAAATTAAGATGTTCTAATTCAACGTTTTACAAGAACAAGCACCATCACAAACAAAAATATAGGGAAACTATTTGGGTGGCTTAAGAATTAAGAATTCCTCTTGTTTATGGATTCTTCATTTTAAACTGGTCTAAGATGAAATCTTCACAAAATTCACATAAATGAAGATTTATGGGAATTTTACCAAGAATTGTCATTGCCCCATTTTCACTTTTTTGTGTTAACCAAACAACAAGTCTAAAATGAAATTCATGGGAATTTTAAATGCCCATAAGAAATTAAGCCATCCAAACAGCACCATAGTGTTTTTCATGGGACTACTTGGGCGGATATATATATATATATATATGGTAAGGCTTATGTAAGAACTCTCCTTTATATAAGAACCCAATCTTATATAAAAACCAATCTCAGCCATTTATTAGTTTTGATCCAACCATCTAAAATGATCCTTTAGTAATGACATTTCTGAAATTCTGCTTTTATGTTCTAAATTTTTTTGCCTACTCCTATGTTCTACATTTAGTCTATTTATGTTCTAATTTTTTTTCTTCTTATGTTCTAAATTTAGTCTACTTATGTTCTAAAGTTTTATTTCCTATGTTCTAAATTTTTTCTACCTATGTTCTAAAGTTTGTTTCCCTATGTTCTAAATATTCTTTTACCTTTTGCCTATGTTCTAAATTCAGTCTACTTATGTTCTAAAGTTTTTTTTTTTTCCTATGTTCTAAATTTTTACTACCTATGTTCTAAAGTTTTTTTTTTTTCCTATGTTCTAAATATTCTTTTACCTATATTCTAAATTTTTTTTTCCTATGTTCTAAATTTAGTCTACTTATGTTCTAAAGTTTTTTTTTTCCAATGTTCTAAAGTTTTTTTTTTCCTATGTTCTAAATTTAGTCTACTTATTTTCTGCTCATATAACTTAGTGCTAATTTAATTAGTTTTATTGGATTTTTTTTTCAAAAAAATATTTGAAGTTTTTTAGTTATTTATAAAGATAACCTATGTAGGAATTGAACCTGCATCCTCTATGCATTTGCATAGTGCTCTTCCAATTGAGCTAATAGGTTTTATCATATGTTCTAAATATTATTTGCATATGTTCTAAAATTTATTGCTTAAGCTCTAAATTTTTCAATCTAAGCTCTAAATATATGTATGCTCTAAACTATTTTCCTATGTTCTACATTTTATTGTTTATGTTCTAAAGTTTTCTGTCCATGTTCTAAATATATATCCTATATTCAAATGTTTTTGTCTATGTTCTAAATTTATTTCCTATGTTCTAAATTTTTTCCGTATGCTCTAAATTTTATCCTATGTTCAAAAAATTTTCTACCAATTTTCTAATTTTTTTTTTCCGTACGTTCTAAATTTTTTCTATCTATGTTCTAAATTTTTCACCTTATGTTCTAAATTTTTTCACCCTATGTTCTAAATTTTTTAGTATATGTTCTAAACTTATTTTCTATGCTCTTATTTTTTTTCCCAATATTCTAAATTTCTAATTTTTTTTTCCTATGATCTAATTTTTTTTCCCAATGTTCTAATTTCCTATGTTCTAAATTTTTACTATGTTGCAAATCATTTTTTTATGTTCCAAATTTTTCCTATGTTCTAAAGTTGTTCGTATATTCTACACCTATGTTATAAAGTTTTTTCTACCTGTGTTCTAAAGTTTTTTTTTTCCTATGTTCTAAATTTTTTCTACCTATGTTCTAAAGTTTTTTTTTTGTTTCCATATACCCTCCATCCAGGAGAGACCATTCTGGTACACCATTTTAATGCTGATCAGATCATGGGCTTAAAAAAGTTTAGAATCTTACAGGTTTAAAATCATACAGTTTTTATTTTTTTTTTCTTTTGTATTCTTATCAACTAGAGAGTTGGGATTTCCTTACCTATTTAGATGAATTCAAATTACAATAATACTTCATTACTTAACCATTTAACTAGATATGCATGCTCTTCACTCCCTTTTTAGACAAATAATTCACTATGTTGCTTCAGGTCTCAGCTAAAGACACCCATATGGCAAACATGTTGTTGAACTATGTGCCCGTCTAAAGACAAATAATATATGTATGTTCTAAGCTATTTTCCTATGTTCTACATTTTATTGTTTATGTTCTAAATTTTTTTGTCCATATTCTAAATATATATCCTATCTTAAAATTTTTTATCTATATTCTAAATTTATTTCCCATGCTCTAAATTTTGTCCTATGTTATAAATCTTTTCTACCTATTTTCTAATTTTTTTTTTCGTACGTTCTAATTTTTTTGTGGGTGATGGAATACATTGCGTTGATAAAATTAACAAAGCAGTCTTATCTCTTAACTCTAAAATAGAGAAAGAATTGAAGACTATTGAGACTCAATTGAACATGAAAACGCTCTTTATTGATGCTTATAAAGTCGTTGACTCCGCAATTAACAACCCAAAGAGATATGGTAAGTCCAACTAAAGTTTAGAAGCTAGCTTAGCTTGTGTTGTATGATTTCCTTTTTAATTTGATAAAAATGTGCTATTCTCTCAAAAAATTATTCTCTCCGTCTCTAAGTTGTATATCATATGTCAATTAGGAATACTATAGTTGAAGAAAAATTAACCATGAGTATTAATCATCGAAATATATGCATGTTGATTCACATGAAAAAAAAAACACTAGTGTAGGATTGTATGTATACTTGTCTCAATGTATGTGTAGATTCAAACAATTACTGTTTTATGAGTTTAATTTAATTATGTACACTTAATTTTGTTTTAAAATACATGACAAATGTATGCAATGAAAATTGTACTAAAAACAAAACATGAACTTAAAAAAAAAAAAAAAAAGAAACGATAGTACATTGTAACCTAACACAAACACACACAATACTCATATTCTTGGATGAGCAAATTAAAATTCGATATGATTCACTAGACCAAGTTAAGCTTAATTAGTATAAATAAGATATAAAATTAAATTATTAACTTTAAATTTTTTCTATCTATGTTCTAAATTACTTTACTAGTCTATGTTCTAAACTTTATGTTATGTTCTAAACTTTTTCACCTTATATTCTAAATTTTTTCACCCTATGTTCTAAATTACTTTCTTGTGTTCTAAATTTTTAGTATGTGTTCTAAACTTATTTTTTATGCTCTTATTTTTTTCCCAATGTTCTAATTTCCTATGTTCTAAATTTTTACTATATTGCAAATTATTTTCTTATGTTCCAAATTTATCCTATGTTCTAAAGTTGTTCATATATTCTACACCTATGTTCTATAGGATTTTTTTTCCTATGTTCTATAGGATTTTTTTTCCTATGTTCTAAATATTCTTTTACCTATATTCTAAATTCTTTTGCCTATGTACTAAATTTAGTGTACTTATGTTCTAAAGCTTTTTTTCCCTATGTTCTAAATTTTTACTACCTATGTTCTTAAGTTTTTTTTTTTTTTTTTCCAATGTTCTAAATATTCTTTTACCTATGTTCTAATTTTTTTTTTCCTTTGTTCTAAATTTAGTGTACTTATGTTCTAAAGTTTTTTTTTCCTATGTTCTAATTTTTCCTACAGTACTACATTTTTTATCTAATGCAACGGTATAAAATTAGCTAATACAACGGCTAATTTCATACCGTTGTATTAGCCTAGCTAATACAACGGTTTATACTAAAACAGGTCTAATACAACGGTTTAGACTAACCGT